GGTATCGCGCCCGCCGACACTTAACCGCTTTCAGTTGGGCTTTAAAAGACATTTATCGCACAGGTTCATGGAAGCGAAAATTCCCGATGCCATATGGGGTCCTTGTTACCAGAGGCCTTGTTTACTACCTTTGTCCAGCCGAAGGAGAGCATCGTGGGCTTGACAAGGGTAACGTGGTAACGCCGCAATTGAAAACGACATAAGTATTGGGTCCCCTGTGCAAATCAAAAAGTCATATTTTGTTAAATGCCTCAATTCCCTTAAAAAATTGATAAAGTGTCTCTTAGGGAACGTTGATTTAATATGGGAGTGGTGGTATAGGGATACAGAATCATTTACCTGAAAAAAATTCAATGCCTCCCCCTCCCGTGTTTTCACTAAATTCACTAGGTTTTGATAGATTGTGCTCGAAAAAGTAGCATAATATGCTACTAACAGTGCTCGAATATTTCTAAAATTATGACAATAATTATTCTAGTTTTTGTAAATTCTGCTTATTTTAGCAAATATGCAGAAATTATGCTTCTACTTTTTATTTTAAATTTGGTGAGAATACCTCAATAACTATGCAACAAACAAGTAAATCTCAAACACATTAACCCTATTCACATCTAGAAACTTTAAGAGTGCATAATTTATTCTCTGAAAACTGTAAAGCCAGCACACGGATGCCGATCTCGAGGAACCGAGCTAGTCAGTTATGCGCATGCACTGAGTCCTGTGTAAAAAGGTCGTAGGTCGTGTGGAACCCATTTCCCATGAATGCGACAAATTGCAAAGAAGACAAAAAATTGATTTGTTACATAAATTTGCCTGTAACACTTATCTCGGGTCCAAAAAAATTGGTTGCATGATCAATAAATGACAATTTTAGGCTGCACTGACTAACCAAAACGGCAAATTATGCTAGCAGTGCTTTTTTTGGGGAAAAACATGAAAATTATGCTCGTAATGACGAACAAGAGCATGACAAATTATGTCAAAAATTATTCTTCTAGCACTCTCGTCGGAGCAAGTGGACTTCCATAGCCACCCTTCCACCTTTTGTAGGTTAACATCTGCACCGAGAAGAGCAGAATAGGAAGGAGGGAGAAATGGTCCGGAAAATTAGGGAGAAGGGAGAAATCAAGGCAAAGATGTAGGGAGGAGGGACAAAATGAAATGTTGGGATTAGGAAGATATCGATGAGAAGGTAACGTTTTCTATTCTGGCCATGAAGATGTTAGCAAAAGCAACGGCCATCTTTATTCCCATGGCTGTTCCATGGGTCTATAGTTAGTTGCTACGGCAAAATTGGAACGATTATTGTGTTAATATAGAGTATTTCAGATACTTAGTAGGTATAGGGGCTTTCTCTCTGCCGTGGTTACGCCCTCTTGTGGTATGTTGGTGTAGAGGCGAAGCTCTGTGTTAAGTTAGGCCAGGACCAAATGGTTCTGCATCAGGCATCCAATTATGGCATTCTAGTTTGACTAAAACTTTATTCTTTTTCTTGACACTGTGTGCAGAAGGCCATTTACAAGCAATAAGCATTAAAAATCAATAAAAGGAAAGCCATTAACTAATGAGTTGTTCCTTTAAGCTAAAATTATACCTCAGTGTATTAAACAAAAACAAGAAACTTGAATTGCAGTGTCTTAAGAAAGGGAAAAACAAGTACTTCAGCAATAATTATCATTAGAATCAATATTCTTACTTTTTCATCTTTAATTTCTTGTTTCGTTTGTATTTTGTGAAATTTCCAGATCTGCGGGTTCTAAGCGTGATCTACAGAACACTGCCATTAATGAATCCCTCGACTGCTTCACTCGCCATCCATATAGATAAGGGTTTGCAATAGCATTCAGGCATAAAATGAAGTCTGCAAACTCGTGGCATACGAAAAACCATGTGGTTTCAGTACAACTTTGGCAATTTGCCTCAATAACTGTCATTACAAGATAGGGGATCTGGGTTAGTACCAAAGCAAGAAGTATCAGGAACGCAGTGAAGGCGAATTCTTTCTCGCTGTTCAGACGCCTAAGTTGTTTTTCACCTTTTTGAGATGTTTCGTCTCTTCCCGGAATGGCTTTTCTTCTTTTGCGTAAAATGAGATAGATGAAAAGGTAAATAATTCCATCAGTCGTTAGCGCAAAGGTAACAAACATATGAACATCCAACGTGTCGTAAATTTCATCAGCGACGTCCGCTAGCTGCATTAAACTGAACGCCATGCAATAAAACCAGGCGCAAACAATGACAATGGCCGCGTGAGTGTTCTTGACGGAGACGCGGTAAAAAAATTGGAAAAACGACAGCAAGAAGCCTGTCAACTGACACGGCAAATATCAACACGTTAGCAGAGTTATCGATAAAATAATCGATGATGTGGTAAAAAGTTGTTTCGCCATCTTTGTCCTTGACACAGTAGAATTCTATCCTTGCTGAAAGCGGGTCAAGAACGGCGCCAAACAGAAAATCGGTCATCGCACATCCCGTCATGTACACTGCAAATGGTCGCCGAAAGCATTTTAGCGGATCCTTGAATATCACGTACAGCAACAGGCCGTTGAATGTAACCGTGACGATTGATGCACTTAGATATAAGGTACCCACCAAACCACAAACTCCGATTCGGATACCGTCCGGGACTGTGGCAGATGATGTTGTCACGTTTTCCATAGCGTAGGACAACTGACAAAAACCAGTGTGGAAGTCTTTAATAGTGAAGACAAAAATAACACTGCAGGCGTGGGCAGCTGGTTTAAATGATGACACAGTCACCGCTCGATTTTCATATAATTTAAAAGGAACAAAGCCTATGACACCTAGGATGCGAAGCGGAAGTGTTGCTTGACCACACGCAGCCCAGGCGACCAGGCCATGTGTCGAGTAATCCGGGTTTAAAGATCATCAGTAGCATGAACCAACATATGTCTTGTGTAAATTTCTAACAAATAAATGCAAGGCTTTTCTTCAGTTTGGAGTCTATTCGTTTCTCTATCTGTGATAATTCGTGTTCGTGTTTTAGTGAGCTTAATTTGATATTCCTCGTATTGCCACGCACGATTCAGTGTTATTTTCACCCCGACTCCTAAGCACTCACGTGTACAACCTCTTCCCCAGTACTTTTCTGCAAGAAATCTCGGGGCACTAAAAGGCCCTGGTATTGGCTATTTGAAAAAGACACACAAGTGCCGCGGAGCTTTCCATTCAACAGATATTTTGGTTTGAAATTTCGAAATTCCACGTGACCAATGGAACGGTTCATTCTGGTTTCACAGATCCGTTCCAAGCCACCGCGTGTTTGCTTATTGTTCCTGCTGCAAGCAGGATACAAAAGAGCGGTACTGGGGACAACAATTTTGCCAAATGAAAGGGACTTTTCGGTCGGACCGACCCAAATGAGTGGACTGGTCAAAGTGAGCCACCTTCTAACCAAAACTTGCTGATGTTTGGGCTGAATGGAAAGCGCCGCAGAAAAATTGGGTGCAGTAAATTTATGATGCATGAAATGTCACATCAAACTTCATGCGTAACAGTAGGAATAGAAAGAAGTCACTGGCCTCGCGATCTAACGCCGACCTATTATCTATCTTAATAGAATCTTCTAGAATCTTACGTACTATTTGTAAAACACCCAGCTAACTAATGATCCATTAAGTATCACTTACGTTTTTTTTGCTTTAAAGCAAACTAAAGTAAGCTGTTTGATACCAAAGATTTAAAACCTCTTTGTAAACTGGTAGAAACCACGGCTACAATGCACGATTACAAATCAAATTTTACGCCCAGTAATAAAGTAACTTCGCCCTAAAAGGAAAGCAAAAGCAGGTATAAAGGAAGAAGAAGGAAAGAGCTGGACGCAAAGAATAGTATTTAATGATTGAAATAAAAACATTCTTGTGTAGGAAAAAAAAATGGATGTAATAAGAACTGTGTGGTGTTTTATCGGTAGCCCCTTGCAGCCAGCAGGAGTATCATATCATACATCAGGTATCGCGCCCGCCGACACTTAACCGATTTCAGTTGGGCTTGGACATTTCTCGCACATGCTCATGGAAGCGAAAATTCCCGATGCCACATGGGGTCCTTGTTACCAGAGGCCGCGTTTACTACCCTTGCCCAGCCAAAGGGCAGCATCGTCGGCTTGACAAGGGATTAATATTGGGTTGCCTGTGCAAATCAAAAAGTCATGTTTTGTTAAATGCCTCAATTCCCTTAAAAAATTGAAAAAGTGTCTCTTACGGAACGTTGATTTAATATGGGAGTGGTGGTATAGGGATACAGAATCATTTACCTGAAAAAAAATTCAATGCCTCCCCCTCGCGTGTTGTCACTACATTCACTAGGAGCTACTAGGCTTTGATAGATTGTGCTCGAAAAAGTAGCATAATATGCTACTAACAGTGCTCGAATATTTCTAAAATTATGACAATAATTATTCTAGTTTTTGTCAATTCTGCTTATTTTAGCAAAATATGCAGAAATTATGCTTCTACTTTTTATTTTAAATTTGGTGAGAATACCTCAATAACTATGCAACAAACAAGTAAATCTCAAACACATTAACCCTATTCACATCTAGAAACTTTAAGAGTGCATAATTCATTTTCTGAAAACTGTAAAGCCAGCCACGGATGCCGATCTTGGGTAACCGAGCTAGTCAGTTATGCGCATGCACTGAGTCCTGTGAAAAGGTCGTAGGTCACTTCCTGTGGGACCCAGGTCCCATGAATGCGACAAATTGCAAAGAAGACAAAAAATTGATTTGTTACTTAAATTTGCCTGTGTAACACTTACCTCGGGTCTAAAAAAAGTGGTTGCATGATCAATAAATGACAATTTTAGGCTGCACTGACTAGCCAATAGGGCAAATTATGCTAACAGTGCTTTTTTTGGGAAAAACATGAAAATTATGCTCGTAATGACAAAACAAGAGCATGACAAATTATGTCAAAAATTATGCTTCTAGCACAATCTCTAAAAGCCTAAAATTCACATAGCCACTCTCCTCGGAGTTAGTGGACTTCCATAGCCACTCTTCCACCCTTTGTAGGTTAACATCTGCACCTAGAAGAGCAGAAAAGGAAGGAGGGAGAAATGGTCCGGAAAACTAGGGAGGAGGGAGAAATCGAGGCGAAGATGTATGGAAGAGGGAGAAAATGAAATGTTGGGAGTAGGGAGATATCGATGAGAAGGTAAGGTTTTCTATTCTGGCCATGAAGATGTTAGCAAAAGCAACTGCCATCTTTATTCCCATGGCTGTTCCATGGGTCTATAAGTAGTTGCTACGGCAAAATTGGAAAGATTATTTTGTTAATATAGAGTATTTCAGATACTTGGTAGGTATAGGGGCTTTCTCTCTGCCGTGGTTACACCCCTCTTGTGGTATGTCGGTGTAGAGGCGAAGCTCTGAGTTAAGTTAGGCCAGGACCAAATGGTTCTGCATCAGGCACCCAATTATGGCATTCTAGTTTGAATGAATTTTTTTTTCTTTTTCTTGAGACTGTATGCAGAAGGCCATTTACAAGCAATAGGCATTAAAAATTAATAAAGGGAAAGCCATTAACTAATGAGGTATTCCTTTAAGGCTAAAATTATAGCTCAGTGTATTAATCAAAAATAAGAAACTTGACTTGCAGTGTCTTAAGAAAGGGAAAAACAAGTACTTCAGCAATAATTATCATTAGAATCAATATTCTTATTTTTTAATCTTTAATTTCTTGTTTCGTTTGTATTTTGTGAAATTTCCAGATCTGCGGGTTCTAAGCGTGATCTACAGAACACTGCCATTAATGAATCCCTCGACTGCTTCACTCGCCATCCATATAGATAAGGGTTTGCAATAGCACTCAGGCATAAAAGGAAGTCTGCAAACTCGTGGCATACGAAAAACCATGTGGTTTCAGTACAACTTTGGCAGTTTGCCTCAATAACTGTTATTACAAGATAGGGGATCTGGGTTATTACCAAAGCAAGAAGTATCAGGAACGCAGTGAAGGCGAATTCTTTCTCGCTGTTCAGACGCCTAAGTTGTTCTTCATCTTTTTGAGATGTTTCGTCTCTTCCTGGAAAGACTTTTCTTCTTTTGCGTAAAATGAGATAGATAAAAAGGTAAATAATTCCATCAGTCGTTAGGGCAAAGGTAACAAACATATGAACATCCACCGTGTCGTAAATTTCATCAGCGACGTCCGCTAGCTGAATTAAACTGAACGCCATGCAATAAAACCAGGCGCAAACAATGACAATGGCCGCGTGAGTGTTCTTGACGGAGACGCGGTAAAAAATTGGAAAAGCGACAGCAAGAAGCCTGTCAACTGACACGGCAAATATCAACACGGTAGCAGAGTTATCAATAAAATAATCGATGATGTGGTAAAAAGTTGTTTCGCCGTCTTTGTTCTTGACACAGTAGAATTCTATCCTTGCTGAAAGCGGGTCAAGAACGGCGCCAAACAGAAAATCGGTCATCGCCAATCCCGTCATGTACACTGCAAATGGTCGCCGAAAGCATTTTAGCGGATCCTTGAATATCACGTACAGCAACAGGCCGTTGAATGTAACCGTGACGATTGATGCACTTAGATATAAGGCACCCACCAAACCACAAACTCCGATTCGGATACCGTCCGGGACTGTGGCAGATGATGTTGTCACGTTTTCCATAGCGTAGGACAACTGACAAATACCACTGTGGAAGTCTTTAATAGAAGGACAAAAATGACACCGCATGCGTGCGCAGCTGGTATAAATGATGACACAGTCACCGCTCGATTTTCATATAATTTAAAAGGAACAAAGCCTATAACACCTAGGATGCGAAGCGGAAGAGTTGCTTGACCACAGGCAGCCCAGGCGACCAGGCCATGTGTCGAGTAATCAAGATCATCAGCTGCAGGAACCTACATATGTCTTGTGTAAATTTCTAACAAATAAATGCCAGGCTTTTCTTCAATATGTAGTCTATTCGTTTCTCTATCTGTGATAATTCATGTTCGTGTTTTCGTGAGCTTAATTTGTTGGTTTTCACGTGACGTCACTAAAATTCAAACTAAAAAACTATCGATCCTACCGAGATTTTACTTTCACGGATACATTAGAGCAGCTGAAAACTAATTTTCATACAATTTTTCGCTTCAAAAGGGTGCTTGGTTTTGTGATAGAGTACGCTCGAATTTCTAAGCTTGTGCGTGATGCGGCATTTACATGACGGCTACGAGAGCTGTCACGTAGGTTAAAAAAATGACTTATTTCAGGACATTTTGCTATCTAAACAGTTCTTGTAGAAAAAGTATTACTTTAATGTTTATGAGCTTCTCGAATAATAAATTCGCGCTTTTGTAGGAAAACTCGGTAACAGATATTTCTGTTGGTTTCCGTCCGCCATGTTAGAGCTCATCCAGCTGAGCACCAGCATGGCGTCTCTAAACAAATCTCTATAAGTTTGGGTAAAACATTTCTTCGGATACCTCGTATACGAAATATTCCTCTCACCTGAATCTTGGCGAGGGTCTCTGTATATGTACCTCCTTTCATTTCCCAGATTCTGGACTTTATCTATTGAACGGTTTTGATTTTTATTTTGATCTATTTTGAATGGCGTGACACTGAAACCAGCAATTCCTCGTATTGCCACTCACGATTCAGTGTTATTTTTACCCCTATTCCTAAGCACTCATGTGTACTACAGCCTCTTCCCCAGTACTTTTCTGCAAGAAATCGCGGGGCACTAAAAGGCCCTGGTATCGGCTATTTGAAAAAGACACCCCAGTGCTCCCCAGTGCCGGGGCGCTCTCCATTCAACAAAAATTTTGGTTTGAAATTTCGAAAATTCCACGTGCCCAATGGAACGGTTGATTCCGGTTTCACAGACCCGTTCCAAGTCACCGCGCGTTTGCTCTGCAAGCAGGATACAAAAGAGCGGTACTGGGGACAACAATTTTTTCAAATGGAAAGGAAATTTTCGGTCGGACCGACCGAAATGAGTGGATTGGTCAAAGTGAACCACCTTCAAAGGTGGTCCCAAATATTCCGGTCGGACGAAACCGAAATGGCTCTTTCCATTTGATTTCTAATCAAAATTTGCGGATATTTGGGCTGAATGGAAAGCGCCCCAGAAAAATTGGGTGCAATAAATTTATGATATATGAAATGTGACATCAACGTTCATGCATGCGTAACAGTAGAAATAGAAAGAAGTCACTGGCCTCGCGATCTAACGCCGACCTATTATCTATCTTAATAGAATCTTACGCAGTATTTGTAAAACACCCAGCTAATTAATGATCCGTTGAGTATCACTTCCGTTTTCTTTGCAGTAAAGTAAACTAAAGTAAGCTGTTTGATACCAAAGATTTACAAACCTCTTTGTAAACTGGTAGAAACCACGGCTACAATGCACGGTTACAAATCAAATTTTACGCCCAGTAATAAAGTAACTTCGCCCGAAAAGGAAAGCAAAAGCAGGTATAAAGGAAGAAGAAGGAAAGAGCTGGACAAAAAGAATATTAATTAATGATTGAAATGAAAACATTCTTGTGTAGTAAAAAAAAAGATATAATAAGAACTGTGCGATGTTTTATCGGTAGCCCCTTGCAGCCAGCAGGAGTATCATACATCAGGTATCACGCTCGCCGACACTTAATCGTTTTCAGTTGGGCTTTAAAAAACATTTCTCGCATAGGTTCATGGAAGCGAAAATTCCTGATGCCATATTGGGTCCTTGTTACCAGAGGCCGCGTTTACTACCCTTGCCAGCTGAAGGACATGCAGCATCGTCGGCTTGACAAAGGTAACGTAGTAACGCCGCCATTGAAAACTAGATTAGTATTGGCTTCCCTATGCAAGTCAAAAAGTCCTAGTTTGTTAAATGCCTCAATTCCCTTAAAAAATTGATAAAGTGTCTCTTAGGGAACGTTGATTTAATATGGGAGTGGTGGTATAGGGATACAGAATCATTTACCTGAAAAAAATTCAATGCCTCCCCCTCCCGTGTTTTCACTACATTCACTAGGCTTTGATAGATTAAGCTCGAAAAAGTAGCAAAATATACTACTAACAGTGCTCGAATATTCTAAAATTATGACAATGATTATTCTAGTTTTTGTAAATTCTGCTTATTTTAGCAAAATATGCAGAAATTATGCTTCTACTTTTTACTTTAAATTTGGTGAGAATACCTCAATAACTATGCAACAAACAAGTAAATCTCAAACAAATTAACCCTATTTACATGTAGAAACTTTAAGAGTGCATAATTCATTCTCTGAAAACTGAAAAACCGGCACACGGATGCCGATCTTGGGTAACCGAGCTAGTCAGTTATGCACATGCACTGAGTCCTGTGTAAAAGGTCGCAGGTCGCTTCCTGTAGGACCTAGTTCCCATGAATGCGACAAATTGCAAAGAAGACAAAAAATTGATTTTGCTACTTAATTTTGCCTGTAACACTTATCTCGGGTCCAAAAAAAATTGGTTGCATGATCAATAAATGACAATTTTAGGCTGCATTGACTAGCCAAAAGGGCAAATTATGCTAGCAGTGCTTTTTTGGGAAAAACATGAAAATTATGCTCATAATGACGAATTATGCCAAAAATTATGCTTCTAGCACAATCTATAAAAGCCTAAAATTCACATAGCCACTCTCATCGGAGTTAGTGGACTTCCATAGCTCCCCTTCCACCCTTTGTAGGTTAACATCTGCACCGAGAAGAAAAGAAGGGAGGAGGGAGAAATCGAGGCGAAGATGTAGCGAGGGGGAAGAAAATGAAATGTTGGGAGTAGGGAGATATCGATGAGAAGGTAAGGTTTTCTATTCTGGCCATATGTTAGCAAAAGCAACGGCCATCTTTATTCCCATGGGTGTTCCATGGGTCTGTACCTCCCCTCTCACTATAATAATTGAATCCCGAGCCCATGAGCTGGAGTGATCAACTTCCATGCACTCGTGTCACGGCGTTTTCACAGACCAGTTTATTTTTAGAACGATTTTTGCGCGAATTTAGAATATCTTTAAAGTCCCGCAAACCAGTCAGCAAAACCTACAAACCTAAAAATTATAATTTTGCCTTTTAATGACGTTACGTTTTCCTTTTTGATATCTAGTACTTCGAATGCGTTTATAGAAGTGGTGGAGATTCCATTTTCGCGGGAAAAGTGCTCTAAAATGTGTCTAAAAATAAACCGGTCGGTAAAAACGTCGTGACATAGGCGTAGTACGGGAGTTGCTCGCTCGAATTAAGTTATGGGCTCCTGACTATCGACAATCCTGAAATCGTGAGAATCTGGTAGTTCCTCAGGGAGGAACTGTAACCATCTCTACTGACTTTTGGTATCAGAAAACCGTTCTTCGTCTACTAAGTGGATTCTATTTTCACGAATCATTCGTATAACTTTACTATTTATATCAGATTAATTTACTGACTCACTGTCCTGCTTGGAATTACTGTCAGTCTCAATATTTGTTGTATACAGAGTGACTGGATTGATATTAAACTTGCTTTTATCTATACGTGAAAATTATACTATCCAAGGCAAAAAAAAACTGGGCCCCTCCCTGGTGACCCTCCCATTTTCCCGAGCTCCTTATCCCCCCCCCCCCCCCCAATAAAACACGCGTCATTTTCAGACCTACCCTGGGTGCCAGGGAATTTTCTAGCGCAGTTTCCGGATTTCAGACCCCCATCTTCAACGTCTTCACCTCCGTACTCTCTCGAAATTCCCCGGATATGGAGAAGTCACGCACCCTTTAGCGCAGCTTGAGCTTGAGGTTCAACATCGTTGCGTTATATTTCCTACCCAGTCTCTCGCAGAAAAATCTCACTGCGAAGACCAAAAGAACACTTAACGCGATCACGGGACTTTTGCACGATTAACTCTTTTATCTGCTGTAGTTTCCTCTGCAGAGACCAACATGTTTCTCATACAGAACCGTTTGGTAGTGTTCTGTTTCTTGTATTGTTGTCGTTCACTTGCTCGTGGTAGAGACTCTGACACGAAGCCAAACATCGTGTTTATTTTGAGCGATGATCAGGATGTCTTTCTTGGAGGACTTGTAAGCAAAATAATGAGCCTTTACTAAATGAATTTACTGTTCATGATTGATACATTGATAGGTGCAAAGTTCAAAGGGTATATTTGCTGCATGTTTGCTGTTACCTATTTCCCACAACCCGTAAAGGTTGGCCACACCACCGGGGTCTAGGACCCCTACTCTTTTGGAACAGTGATGTGCGTTCTTTTACGTCCCACAAGAACAAATCAGTGAAAATGTTATGAGACGGGACCTACAATTTTTCGTCCTTATCCGAGAAGACCAGAAAGTCTAACCATTTGCAGATGTCATTTTTACAAAGGCAACACTTTCTTCTTAGTTATTTAAAGACCCTGAGTGTTGATCCAGCCGGGGTTTGAACCCACGACCTCCCTCTCGCCAGATCGGCACCCCGGGGGGGGTACTCCCATACATTACCTATACGGGTATGTGCCGCCCAAAGGGGTCGTGATTTTGAAGCTCCTGATTTAGAACGGGGTATCCATTTCAGAGGCGTTTCTAGAACGGGGTATAATATTTTGAACGCACGAAAGCTCCACTTTTGTAAGCAGCCATTTGAAAGTATTCAAGGACAGATTGCTTTTAAAAATACGGTTCAATGCGTTAACAA